AAAAAAAAAAAAAAAAAAAAAAAAAAAAAAAAAAAAAAAAAAAAAAAAAAAAAAAAAAAAAAACCACCTCCGGTAGGTGGGCCATCAGAAACGTTTCGCTACAAAAACGAGAGAGGAAGGTAAGATGAGAGCTGCACACCTGGCAGTACGTTGAAAGCGTTTCCAGAGCTTGAGTTTGAGTTGTGAAAGAAAGCTGACTGAGCACTATCGTGCGCAATTTCTGCCCCATTGGGAAGAGAACTCCTTCGGAGGCCAAATGAACTGACCATTTCACTCCATGAGACAGAGCAATCTGGCTCCACCTTATGTGACCACGAGGTCAGGGGAGGGGCAGGCATAGACAAACTGCTCTTGGCTGGAATCGGAACCGGTCTCGCCATTCCCACATCGGGTCCAATACCGATTGCATCCCTGCCTTCCACATTCGCTCCTGCACAGATCACAAAACACGCAGCCCACCCACCCACCCACCCACCCACACACACACATGTGGGTGGACTGAGAGAGAGAGAGTTTGGGGATGTTGACATATACACATAAACACATACATACAACACCCCAATACCCTCACCCCACCTCTCTCTTCCCCATTCCCCCACCCACATATTGGACCATACAGACAGCACTTGTCACTTGCTGGCCATCAATCATCAACCGCAATTTTTTTTTGGATTACAATGTCGAGTGTCATGATAAGAAATAGACGGCCACCCTGTCAGGACAACAAAAAACGGCCCTTTGCACACAGGGTTTGCACTTGCGCATCAGATGTCAGAAGACTGAACTGGGAATAAAGTTCAATGAACCGAGCACCCACTCTCATATGCCTTGAGAAGCACAAAATTCTACTCTTCCAGCAATGGCCTACAGATGATTTTCTGGCATTGTTCTAGAAATAGTAAAACCATGCTTGCGGGCCTTGCGGCCCACAAGCAGGAAGCACTGCGAGCTGTGCCATGTGGAAAACAGTTTTACGACACACGAAAAATATCACGACGGTGACCTTGCCTGCGAATGGTTAAGCAAGTAGGGTGTGTGGTGCGTGTGTGGTGCCAGGAGGGGGCGAGGGGAGGTTGGGATCAAAGACTGAGGTTTGGTTCTGCGCCAGGGGGGGGGGGGGGGGGGGGGGGCCTAATAAGGAGTTTTGGGATGTGCACTCAGGATGGCTTGGCAAAGGGGGGACAACGAGGGAGTGACGTTGACGGGTGGGGGAGGGTTGGGGTGAAGGGTTAGACTGGGGTTACCGTATGAGGGGAGTGTGCAAGGGGGCAGAGGTGGGGGAGTTTGGGGCGATGGGGAGGGTGAGGTTTAGCTTGGGCCAGAAGCGGGGCAGCAAGGTGTAGGCGAGGAGGGGTCGGGATGCACGTACAAATGACCGAGCCCGAGCCCAAGGGGGGGGATGTCTCCCGTGTGAAAATCGCGCGGCGCACCAGTGCGTACACACACTAATCGACCAACCAGAAACCACTTCTCCGATGACACCCAGACAGTACGCTGCACATTTGCAGAGCCCAAAGTAAACCCACTGTGCACTTTCAGAAAATTGTCCCAGGCCTGCCCCATGAACCACAGGTGGCCCTTACCACAATCACTTTCCGTCTTTTAACCAAATCTTTTGACATGTTACGTGACCATGCATTCTCAGGGGATGCGGGCAAATAAACATCACGCCACTTCAAAGCTTGAAACAGATGTGCATTCTCGGCAAAATCAGCGAAAGACACGATAACCCCACAACTCCCATCGTCAGTCCTCACAGGATCCCAATCCTATCGTACGTCCCAATCATCTTCCAATCAAAAAAAAAAACTAGGCCACCAGAGTGGCCCGGGACCACTTGCCCGGCCGGGTGAATATATGATAGTCTACTTTGATTTTGGTTAAGGTAGATTATCATTTACAGTGTAATCAGTGAGGGGATTCTGCAGACTGTTGAGGGTTCAGCCTCCTGATAACTCTGTCTCTTATACACATCTAGATGTGTATAAGAGACAGGGGCAGTTCTGTTTTATAAGCTGTCTTGCTGTAAAAATAGTAGAGCAAAAATTCATACGTACAAGAAGAATGTCCAATCTTTTCTCCATTAATAATAACAAACTCTTTTGTTTGTCTAAATAAGTATACGTATATATATATATATATATCGTCACAAACAGAACTGCCCGGTAAACCGTAGGCAGAGAGAGAGAAGAGGACAACAAACGAGGGGCTGTGACAAACTGTTTCGTCGGAGTTTCACCGACTCATATATATATCGTCATATATATATATATATTGATAAAGAATTTCGATGTGACCCTGGGGCAAAAGTTGATCAGTTCCAACTTCCAACTGGTCGCTGTAATTCAGAATGAAGGGAGACCGCCAGAATTGAGATTCTCTGCATTCTTTTTGTAAAAAAAAACTTGTCTGTGAAATTGCTTCTTCGAGTGATAGATTGACAATGTTTTAAGGAGGAAAAAAAATAGAGACAAGTGTGGTAGGAAGGACTTAGCTGCTAATTGCAGTAGATATTAAGAATGTAGATGGGTAGAGTGACCAAGTGCGAAGGGTTGACGTGGCTTGGGGTAGATGTGGTTTGATAGTGCAAAATCCGTGTTGTGTATTGCTGTTGTAGGTGGTGTTTAATTTCTGGGCATAAAGAGCATTTTAGGGATCGTATTGTTCATTACAGGGTGTACAAATGAAATAACTGCCTTGGGTATCTCCTTTGAGAAAAAAACTGAGCTTTGCGCAATTGCTGCGGTTTGGGTTAAGCCTGGGCAGAGAGCCTGGCGCATCCCTGTAGGCCGCGACGTCTGATGTGAGGGACGCTGGGCCCGTTTCCCAGCCTGCAATGGAATTTCCTTTTTAGTTAAGAAAAAAAAAAGTTGACCAGTTCGTTTTTCTGCATAACATAGGTTTTTTTCAGTTCTGAGTGAGGATGCCGCCCGGCCGGGCCCGTTGGGCCCCGGGGGGCCGCCCGGGTAAAGCGGGCGGGCCAAAAAACCATGGCTACGATCCAGACGTCCGGACCGCCGTCCAGACGGTCTGGATTCAGTCCGGACTCCAGACGTCCGGTCTGGAAGGTCCGGATCTCCCAAATTTCGAGAAAAAAAAAAAAGGGTCCAGGACCCTTCCCCATTGAGGAGCCAAGCCCCCAAAATTGTTTTGGGGGGTTTTCTGGCCCGATTATGCTTTTTTGGGGGGTCTGGACATGCTCTCTCTCTATAATAATTTATTAGACAACCCCAAATTTTTAATTATTAATAATTCATTACCTTTTATTAGTTTTTAAAGTCTTTTTTTAAGCTTTTTTATAGTTTTTGACTTGTAACTCCAGTTTGGTTAGGAATTCTGACATGACTCTGCGGCAAAAGTGGTTTGCATTGTTATTCTGCATAACATACATTTTTTTCAGATTTTTTTATTTTTATTTTTTTAATGGTCCGGACATTTCCCGACCTGTCCAAACATCCGGACCATCCGGATCCCCCCATGTCCGGAGTTCCGGAAATGTTCGGAATTCCGGACGTCTGGAAACTACCATGTCCACGTCCGGGTCCAGCATAGCCATGCCAAAAACCGCCCAGAAATATATATATTGTCACATAACTATGAACTAAAAGACCGCAATTTGCAAAACAAACGGCAAAATTATATATATTACATATATGCGCTCGGCGAGAGGACCCCGAATCTGCAATAAAATTTTGGTTTTGGGAAGGGGTAGGGGGGGGGTTGGTCTGGGTGGGGGGTGCTGGAGTTGGGGGGTGTGTCTGTGATGTGGCACAGATGCGCTTTTTTCTTTTTCTTTTTTTTGTAAGGGGTGTGTGTGTATACAAGGAGGGGAGAGAGAGAGAGAGAGAGAGAGAGAGAGAGAGAGAGAGAGAGAGAGAGAGAGAGAGAGAGAGATCTCTTATACACATCTAGATGTGTATAAGAGACAGCACACACACACACACACACACACACACACACACACACACACACACAAAGGGGGGCCGAGATCCCCCGACAGGTGAGTGCGCTGGGGGGGGGCCGGCCCCCAAGCGGGTGCCCTGCCCAGCCAGGCCGCCTGGGACCTCCCCCGTGCCCCTGCCGGTCACCCGGGCGGCCCGGATCCCCCCTCAGGGGGCCTTTGCACTGCTGGGCCGCCCGGGCAGCCCACAAAAATAAGGTGACATGGCGCCCCGGCTTGTAGCCTTGGGGGGGGGGCGGGGGGGGGGGGACCCTATGAAAATGTATCCTAGATGCCAAATTCACGCAACCGTCTTCTCCCGAACAGAATACACGGTCCTTATCACTGTATGTAGACTGCAAGAGCCTAGAATCAACAGGGTCGCTGTGAGGAAAAAAATAATTGCGGTACCCCTTGCCACCAAACCTCTACCGGACCTGGGCACTGTAGATTTTAGCCGGGGACTTATAGACGAGAAAATGAACAGTGCAGGGACCGTTGGAGTGGTGGTTTCAGAACGTCAAAAGCATACTGATTTGGTCACATAGCGACAAGGATACCCACACAGGACCGGGCATTCAGCCAACGCGAACCGCATAGCCACTTCACTTTACACCACCAGCACCCGGGCCCAGCCTTGCAGAAAAATGTCGAGCTGCGGCCTAAAATTTCAAGGACTCAGGCCGACCGGACCACAATGCCTGGCGGCACCAGCCAAACAAGGAAAGAAGTGTGCACCACTGCAAGTTCAGACAAGCTTGGCGCGCAGCACAGCGCCTCCAGGCCCAGGTGTACTGGTCATTTAACAGGATGTCAACCTTCCTAGGTTGTTACCTATCACCTTAAGGATGGAAGTTCATGGGACCCTATGCAAGTCGGATATCCCATGTTTCTTTTCCTTTTTTTTTCTTCTTTTTTTTTTTTTTTAATAATTTGGACCAATTCTCGATTTTTGCGCGTCATCCTTGTTGCAGGGGCCACGCTAATCTTTCTGTGTAGCATTCCAATATTCCAACGCCGATTAAAAGAATGGGTATTTCTGCAATTTCCACCCTTGTTGGGGGAAAAGGAACCTGACTGAAGCTCCCAGAATGGACATGGGGCAGAGCATATGCAGCATCTTAAAATTTAAAAAAAAAATAAAAAAAATTAACACGGCCATAATCTGGAAGGCTGCAAGTACGTTCTTTTTTTTTTTTTTTTTTTTTACTACCTGCTGGAAACCGGGTCCAGCGTCCCATAGATACAACCATATCTTCACAAATTGGCACAAACTGGGAACCGGGCCCAGCGTCCCATAACGAGTACGTTCAGAAAACTTTTTTTTTCAGAAAACATTGGAGCTACTTAGAAAAAGACCACGACAAACTTCAGAATATGAACTGAATTCAGAAAACTACTCAGAAGACCCCCCCATCCATCCACTTTACCTCACTCCGGCAAGCAGAGCCACCATCTCCGCTGCTGCTATACCCTATTCCCATCCTACCAGCTAGCCCCCTCACTAGTAGGACGCGTGATATCCCACCATCTCCCCCCTGGCCTCGTTCTTTTTTAGCGAAGCTCCAGCACCAGCCTATGTCGTCCCAGCATCATCCTCCTAACCTACTCACCCTAACCGACATCTCATGTCCAATTTTCCATGTCTTAGCAATCCGCCCTCGGCTTTCGACTATAGGACTTGTGCAGCCTTTTTCACATACCCACTGTTCCCAAACATTTCCAAATACTTCACACAGGTTCTCAGCACCAACGAACAAGAAAGAGAACAAGGCTATATGCTAGAACTCACCACCTGGAGCGGAGTCCGAAGAAACGATTCTGCTTCCATTTGCAGGTCCCGTGCTTGTGAAGGTCGGTGAAGAAGTCGGCGGTACATTTTCACCTATATCATGAACAACCACAGCTTTACAAATGAATAAGCATGCACTAAGCAACCTACCTTTCAACTCAAAACACAGGGCTTAGGGAAAAACATCCTTTCTGCATAGTGTCCTTCCTGACATCCGGTAAAACTGGAATGATACCAAAAAGATTCGCATGGCCCCTAGCCAAAGACGACACAAGAGACATGGTCCACAACTCCAAGTCAAAAGAAAGGAAAATTAAAAAAGGAAAAACGGGAAAATTTTCGAAATGCCCCTCCGACTTCCATATAGTTGTGGTATGCCCCTCCGGCAGCCGACTTACCCTGTCGTGCCCCTGGTGCCTCTGAAGTTCCCTGCAGGCCCCTGTCAATGAGGGGCACAACTTTCCGTGACGTTCTTACTGGACCGCCGGGCCCATTTCCCCTGGTGCCTGTCTGCTATGCCCTCCTGCCAGCGGTGCATCTTTCTGAAGTGCCCTTCAGCACGGAGGCGTGACGAATTCAAATTCAAATGCGACCCGCCGTCTTGGACACCCTTGGAGTTCATTCATGACTGACGGTCCCATTTCCCCTGGTGCCCGTCTGCTATGCCCTCCTGCCAGTGTCCCACCCGCTCTCTTCCATGCCCATTTGCCTCTCCTCCCTCTCTCTCTCTCTCTCTCTCTCTCTCTCTCTCTCTCTCTCTCTCTCTCTCTCTCTCTCTCTCTCTC